GATGAAGTCACCGTTGTCAAACCGGGTACTGTACCCCATCCAAGGATTTGACAGCACCACAGAAGGTTGGCGATAGGGCCATGTATTCGATGGCACGTTTTGTTGAGGTCGATATTGCAAAGGTCGTTCCAGTTGATTAATGTCCACACTGAAGGATAACAATGTGCTGCGTAGGTTCGAGATTCTGGTACGGAAGAGGTACAAAAAGGTTCATAGTTCGTACCAGATGTAAACAGAGGGTTAAGGAAGTGGGAAGATTGTGATTTTCGGCCCACCATAGCGACGTTAAGCTTGGCCCTGAATTTCTTAAGCGTAGACAGCGACACATGGACGGTTTCAACTCCAGAAAAAACCTGGGGAAAAATACCTTGTAAGATAATGCTAGTCTTCCTTTCTGCTGGCCATTTCTGGTGGATCATGGACGAGATTCTTTCCAGTCCATCCTCCCATCTGTGAATAACGTCGTCAATGGTGAGTTGACGCGTAAAATGTAACAAGCACCCTAGTTCCTCTTTATGTACAAAGACATGCTCGGCTGGCTCATTGAACCAGGTGGACATTGCTTTCCGGGCCTTCGGGGCAGTGCTAGCAACCCACGTCTTACCCTGTGAAACGGAGTACCCAAGGGTTTGGGAGAGTTTATCCACGAGGTCTATGGATTGTCTAATTTGGCTGTTATGCCATGAGTGGAAGAGCCAGTTATCCACATAGTTAAAGAAGTTGAGGCCATCCAGTTGCTGTTGGCGATTGATTTCCATTGTCATCAGCCAATTTAATTGTAACATCTGGTACACTGCGAAGGCTGGTAAGTTGTCCGAATGGCTCTTCTGACTCTGCTTTGGGTTCAAAAAAGCGCTGACCTGTGAACACACTTTAACCAGGATTTATTTCTTGAGAAGTGGGGATTGCCATCCTGAGTCTGAAAATCCTGCTGCGATTTGTAGCCTCCATGGTGTGAGGCATGCATCAAGGCACAACCACAAACATTGACTCCCAAACAAGAGGTCTGGGATGAATATCAAGTATTCTCCAGCATTGCTAGCGCGCAACTGGCAGAGATCTGCAGATAGCAGGTTCATCCAATCAGTTGAACGCTTGAACCAAGTGGCCTCTCCATCCAATCAATTGAATGTTTGAACCAAATGGCCTGTTCATCCAATCCATTGAATGCTTGAACCAAATGGCCTCTTAGGGTTTAGGGCGTAAGGTTCTTAGGGCGGGCGTAAGGTGTAAGAATTAGGTTTAGGGTTTAGGGTATGGAGCCACGTCCAGTTAGGGTCGAGGGTAGAGGCTTTAGGGTTTATGGTGTAGTGTAGTGTAGTGTTATATTGGTTGTGAGCATTCACCCCTCCCATTCCAATGCTGCTTTTCTCTCCCCCACTTTTGTACCCGACTCCCTTGGCTGTTTCTTGTGGGTAGCGTCGCCTGGAAATCCGCCCCCAAAATTTCGGCAAAAATCAAAACTGCATGATGTCTGGCTGTCAAAATTTGGACAAATGAGCACAGACTCCTCCAAAAGTGGGTTCAAATGTTTTGCTCAACAAAAGCACAAGCCACGTCACACGGTTTCAAGGCTCAAACGCATGCTCAAGGAATCAAGAATGGCTGCGGAAAAAACCAATCGCCCAAAATCAAAACTCAGTTCTCCATTCTGCCACAGCACGGAAAATCAAATCAACATGCACATGTACTGCGTGAAGAAATGTTGGGAGCTCCAGCACGTGTGAGTCAAGCTTCAAGCATGTTAGAACACCAGCAACATGTCTTGTTTGACTGAAAATTAATGTCCCTACTTGTGTTGACTTGCTGTCATGGGAAAACGCCACTCCAACACAAGCTGGAAAACAGGAGCTAAAGCGGCGGCAAGCTTGTGTAAGCAGTAAAGCCACATGCGAGATTGCAGCTGAAAAATGCCCTCACGTGGTAGGCGCTTGAATGGACATGCACAGGTTCCTACCAACTTGCACGTGCTCATCACTCATGAGTTGGCACTGGCTTGCAGTCAAAAGCAAACTTCACACCTGACATGTTTTTGCCACGGCGTCATGTCATGAAATCACAAAACAGCCGCGCTCTGTGAGCAGCTGATGTCCAAAATGGCCTGTGCTTCGCTACAAAACTGCCTACTTCTTGGCTGGATCCAAAGCAGACTTCAACGCCTGCTGCACCTGCTGCATGCGTTCAATGCCTTTGCCGTCCTTGCTGCACAGCTCGACGACTTTGCTGTACTCTACATGTGCCTGGGAATCTGCGATGATGAATGATTTCCGGGATCCGTAGATCATGGGCCCCGCAGTAGTCCTTTCGGCCAATATGTAGCCCACTGGAATGTACATCACTTGGTCCTTCTTAAGCAAATGGAAACTTGGCTTGAGGGTTTGGGCGATGCGCTTCCACTGCTCGGCAGTCAGATTCATCACGGCCTCGCAAAGCCAAAGCCACACACTCATTCCTCACCTATTCCCTAAGCCCACGGGTAAACAAACACCAACATCATTGGGACAAAAGTCAACCTACTTTGAAATTTTCCGATTTCAGGCAATCTGGGTATCTACGTGGGAGTGTGTAGTATGTTTGAGATTTGCCAAGCAAACAGCTTCACACAGAACTGCCACATTATTTGCCCTGCTAGCCTCTTCAAGCTCCGTCATGGTCGTAGGCGAGTGAAGTCCAGCATCCTTCAAGGCTTGCAAAATCCCTGTTGCGGGCAACGCAAAGACCTCGATCTCCCCGTACATGAGGACCCTCAAGCAAGCGGCACAATTCGGCGCAAAGCTTGCGAAGCAACGCTTGGGCGCGCATCCAAAAATCCAGCTGGCTGCCATCCA